TCTGCTTCTTGGGAACTACAGCAGTGGAACCATTGTGAATGTGCTTCACCACTGAAATCCCTTGAATTTACGAGGATACTGGGACTGTAGGCGCACCAAACTAAATTAAGATGCTCCTTTCAGAATAGAAAGTGATGCTTTTGTTCAAGTCCAGCGTTTTCTGAGAAGCTATAGCATTTAATTGCTATGAATTGGCATTACTAAAGGCATCACACAGTAATTTGGGTCTCTTGTACGAGTTTTGCTTAAAGACAAGAAAGGCTTTTAAAGAATACAGAGTTCATTGTCAAGTCACTAGGATATCAACGCATTGGGAAGGCTGGGCTGTGAAGTATTTATTAGTTGTTTTTTTGATTGGCTTAGGGTTTTTTTGTTGTGTTTTTGGTTTCTTTTTAAGCTATTGTATTTTTCCTTTTAACAATTTCACCTTAAGGGAAAATTAGACTCGTCTTTGAAGATGGCTTGGGACTTGTGGATTTTCATCTTTCAAATAAAACTTGCATTTTATATATTTCTGAAGCCGATTTGGTTGCAGGAGATGAATTCAAAAGAAGACTGGTTCGGTTTAGAAATGTAAGTACTACAGAAAGAGAAAAGGAAAAGTCTTCAGTTGGTATTTGTTTATTCCATGCTCCTGAAAACATCCTTCTTGTGTTATTTTTAAATTCTAGCAGAGATAAGCTTTTGTGATAATTTTCACCTGAAAACCAAAAAATTACACAGCTGTGTAATAATGCTGCAGTAAACCTCAGTGCTGTTGCTGCAACTTCTATTCTTCCTCTGATTTGCTTCAGGCAGCTCATACTTGACAGGAGTTTGCTGTCTGTTGCATTGCATCATCTTGTCATTAACAAGGTCTTTTCTTCTTTTTTCCTTTCAATACAGGCCAGCAGTCTTGGGGGAATTGTAATTGTGGAGAGAACCCAAATAAGCGATCAGTACTTCTTAGCAGTACAAAAGCTTGTTGTGCTAGAACTTGGAATGGTGTTGCTTCCTGTGGCAAATCAAGGAGAAGCTTCTCAACTCATTACTCAGCTCGTAAGTTTCTGTGTTGGGGACAAACATTTAAAATATGGGATGTGAGGAGAATCACCTGTTTTCCCACAATCATCATTCGTTTCAGAAAGAATACCTGGGATCTTAAAGGAACACAACATATTTTGTTGTTTGTATGGAAGGAATAAATATCCTGGAATGGTAATATGGTGGTTCGGCAGAAAGCCAGCTCATTTGAGAACAAAGAAATAGAGTTGAAGAAAATTATTCTGGATTTTTTTTTAACGTGATCTTGCACTGAGATACCACTGGATAGCATTTGGCAATCCTCAATTAAGTTCTCTGTCAAAACCGACTTAGATTTTGCTTTGACTCAGGCTGTGGAAACTGCTCTCTTTCCTTTATTCTTTCTCCGATTGCATCAAAAAGACAACAAAACAATTGTTTTAATTTGTGGTTGGTGTTAAGCATCTATTGTTTTCCTAGTGAGACTCTGTGGGTATGTGTCACAACTCTTAATGAGGGTGCTCACTTAAGTAGGGAGCTTGTTTTTAAAACTTCATTGCATTGAACTCTTGAGATGAAATAAACTATTTTAAAAACTAAAAACAGAGCTCCAGCAGAGGGCACTCAGTGTCACTTATGGTTTTGTTTTGCTTCAGGTCCGTGAACAAAGTAAGGATCACAACAGTAACCCCTTTCTTCGTAAACGGTGTTCACAGCTGGCAGAGCCGTCGGTATTTCGGACCGTGCAACAGATTCCAGGAGTTGGGAAAACAAAAGCTCTGCTTTTACTGAAACAGTTTGGAAGCATCCACCGGCTTTGTAATGCATCTGTCCAAGAGCTTGAGCTAGTAGTTGGACAAACAGTAGCACAACAAATTTACACTTTTTTATGTTCCTAACATGCACGTGTAGTGCTGTTTCAGAAGACAAAGACACTTTGTTTGTTTCTTGTGAAATACAGAATTTTGTTTTTAATAATCTCGTATTATGGCAATTTCTGCAACCCTGGTAACAACAAGAGGGTGCTGACTATTTGTCTAAATATTACTCTGTTGCTGCTACTTTACAGCTGTTTTGCTCATGTAGATGGAGCTGTGGAAATTACCTTGGGAAGAGGGCTGTAAAGTGTTCTGCATCTGTCTTGTACAGAAAACTGGGAGAAAGCATCCATGTAAGAAAATGGAAGAGCAATTTGCTTGCTTTTTGTCTTCCAGGAATAAATGTTTTGTTAATACATGGGTGGTGGTATCTTCTCAGTAACTGGAAATGTGAGCATATATTGCTTTATAGTAATATCTTTTGATTTATAATTTTTGAGTTCTTTTGGAATACATCTTTGACTTAATTCTCGGATTCCTTTTTCAGTTCACAGGGTGCTATAAAATTTATTCCTTTGTGTCTAATATCCAAAATCGTAGTTAATTCATGTTGGGCTTTTGAATATAGGTTGATGTAATTATAATAAAATATATTTTGACATATTAATTATCACTTATAATTTATTAATTATAATATCAATAGTAGTAGTACATACTACAAATAAAATAATATGGGAAGCTTTAATGAAAATTTGTAATTTATCATGTTCTTCCAGCATTAATCATTTCCAAAATTATTTGTAAAGAGCAGGATTTTGGTTTTCTGACATCTCGCATTTTCTTTTAAATTATACTCTTACCCTATCTAGTAAGGGTAAAATTGCCTTTTGCCTTGTGTACCCATTAAGGAGGTGTGTGAAAAGCCTCTTTCATACTACTTGGGTTTTGGATCACAGCAGCATCACTGCTGTTGAGCAGGATTTTCAACTCCCTTCTGTAAACTAAAGAGAAATGAATAATAGAACCTTGGCACATCTGTAACCAATCTCATCTCACTGGTTACCTTAGGCAGCACATAGACCTGTTACTTATACTGATTCTTTACTGGGGATGAAAATACACTTGTAATTTGGGCATAAATACTAAATTTACTGAATAATAAACAGAATTTCCAGAACTACAGAACAAGGTACTACTTCCTTAGAGGGAATGCTTAAGCTTTGTTATAAATCTGTTTGTTTAGATTTTTACTTCCTCTCTCTCAGACTTTGTCACTTTGCTATGGAGACGGGATTTCACATCTGAAAGGTATGCAGCTATTGATGTTGCAATGCAAACACATTTTGCTACTTCAAATGGGCATCTGCTCAATGCATGAACTAAAGTTCAATTAAAGTAGTAACAATTCCTACTAATGGAGTTTATAGGCTGAATGGAAGGGCAGTTAATCATACAGCTGGTGGGGGGGGAGATATTTGCAGAAAGACTGTCACAGTGGGCTAAGATAAAGGAAGAGCTGGAAGGGTGATTCATGTGCCTTTGCTAAAGATTTCATTAGTTGGATAGTAATCTTAGGCATACATGCAAGGTAAATATCTTCTGTATGGAATACTGTCTGGCAGGGTCTTGCATATCTGTGTATGACTGCTGCTGCTTGTGTGCGTGTGTAAAAGAAATGCCACTTGCAAATATACATGAAGAATAACTACTAAGGAGAGGTGAGCCACAGGTAATTTATAACACTTTTTAATGTAATGTTTATAGAGAAACTAAAAATATGTTAACACTCATTCTAATGGAAGCAAGTTTTAGACTATAATTTGTAAGTTCTTGTATAATACAGCATAAACTTTTAAGAAACATGCAAGAGGTATGGCAGCAGTAAACTCTGAAGACCTGTAAAGTATGCTGAATCATCTAAGCTGTAGCAGAATCAAAAAAAAAACCACTACTAAAAGGCAAGATGTGATTTTTATTCTTAAATAAGTATCATCAACATATTTACACATATTACATAAGAAACTAAAAATAAATGACAACTTTAAAGTTTATACCCAGACAGAAACATTCCCCTTATTTTGAGTTTTGAGTATCAAACAGCATATATCTACTCTGTAGATGGCAATGTTAACTAACACTACAGTGTTAGCAATTCTCAATTAATTTAAATTTCAGAAAACAGAAGAATCTCAAAGAAATGCTCACGGAGGGTTTTTTCCTCTCCCACCTGAATATATATATGGCCGATGCTTGTTCATTCATTGTTCCCAGAGGAGGAGGAAGATTTTTTTTTTTACTTAGTGTGATAGTAAATAAACATTAAACTCACAAGCACTTTTCTCATTTTAAAGCATCACCACGATTCATGTACTCTTGATCAGTACACTGGAATAGGTCAGTTTTGAAATTTGTTGCACTGCTATCAGTTTTATCAAGACTAATGAGATAAAAGTCTCAAGGTAAGTAGATTAAATAATTTCAAGTTTGGACTAAAGCCTGGTTTTAACAATTGAATCAGCAGGCATTTAAAATGTAACCTAGATCACTAAAAGAGCAGAGTAAAAGCCTTTTGTAGTTCAAAAGATCTTTTGACTTCTAAGTCTTCTAATTCTCTTCCAGAATTAAATTAACTATTCAGTAGAATACACCTAGTACTCTCAGCAAGAGAATGTGTATGCATAAAAACCACAACTGTATGACACTGCCCCTTGGCACAAGGCTAGTTATTCTCTCTCACCTGTGGTTTAAGATAATTCTTTAAAGAAGTCTTAACAGATTTGACTCTAAACTTTTACAGCAAAATCATCCTTTAATGTGTCCCCTATTGTTTTACATGCAGCATCAAGTTTGTAAAAAAATAACTCCCATCTATCATAGTTTAAAAAAAACAGTCATGATACTGTATTTTGAAATTCCAAAGGAATACAGTCCTCACATAAGCAACTTTATCATCTGTCTTGTTATTGCATGCCACCCAAACAACTTCATTTTAACCTTCAAATAATTAAGATTTACAGGTTTTGCCAGCCTCTGACCTTCACAGTGGTCTATACACAGTAAATTAAGTCAATGGCATTTGTCTGAATTTATACACATGCATATATGAGATAAAATTGATCAATATTTTTAATATACAACTTAAAGAAAAGTGTTAAAAGTTAGCAGGTACTTCTGAAAGATTCAGTACAATGAACTTTCCGTATTCAGAAATGTGAAGGGAGAAACCTTCTTCTTAATCTGAGAACTTCCAGCCACAGCTGAAGGCAGGCAGAGGGTGCTTGCAGCCTTCTGTCTATTTTTAGTTCCCCAGCTTAGAAAAGGCAGTTTCAGTGGGGCTTTCTTGGTCTGATCAATCTTATCCTCCTCCATGGCTAAACAGATTAAAGAGTATGTCTTCTGCATTCCCACAGAGTAAGTTGCACTCTTACTATGCTTTAGGAAAAAGAGAAGCATTATAAGAATCAGTCACCCAAAATAGGTCAAAATTTTGAAGACAACAAAGGATTACTGTGCAAATAGTTTTCCAAGGGAGACTACAGCAAGCTTTCTGTGCTAATGCCAGGCTCACTGAACACAAGGCCCTTCAGAGTGCTGTGATTCTGGTATTTTGCCCATGTAGATTCAGGGGTACAGTATACAAAGCATAAAGGGAGTCGACAATCTTTCCCATGGGTTGTGTTATAGTAAGCATTTCCTGGCTTCTAGCATAACTATACAATATATACACTAAGCTCTCTACAGAGCTCAAGTATGTAGTTCTTGCACAAATCTCTGAAGGAGTCTTTTTGCTGTCTTTGGACATGCATGTGGACTCTGACAAGAGCTACTGCAGGATATTCTTTTGGGATACCTGAAAGGTACAGCCCTCTATCTTATCTTAGTTGTGCCCTGAAGCAATTTGATTATATTCTAACCTTTTGTTTCCAGTAGGAGCTTGGAATGGCAGGTGTGCAATTCCCTAACCTCAGTAAGGAAAATAAACTTCTTAAACAAAACAAGAATATGTAACACCAGTAAGAGCACCTTGTTCACTTCTAAGGCAACAATACTTCAGTGCTTAAGCTTGCCAGGAAATATTAGAAGCATGAAGTAGTAGATTTAGCTGAACTACACATTTTCTCAAGCTACAAGTAAATTTAAAGCTTAACATTTTTTAATCTTGTGATAATTTCTTCTTAGTTTAAAGCTTCTACAGTAGCTTAGTAACTGATTAGACAGTTAAAGTCCACTGAAATAAAAAATACATACATTAATCTGTGATCTAATACAGAAGTCACAGATCATTTATGTTAACAGTGCATAGAAATAAGCATGTAGTCTTGGATGATCTATTTCATTCCATTATTGTTTCACTGTGGCTTTTCCAGTGCTGAACAGGGCAATATTTTCATCATCTGGGACAAGGGAGGGGACAATAAAATTTGCCCTGGAATTTATAATACAATTAATCTAAATAGCTCCACTACAAAAAAAAAATAAACACACTACCCCACCATTCTTATGCACGCTGACTGTACTTTAGCTTGCTAAGTCATGATGTTCAAAACTGAACAAACAATTCAAAACAATGTGCCTTGAATGCCTTATATACTCATGTAGTCAGATATGCCACTCCAGCAGTAGAAGTAAACTTTAATCAGGGACTGAAGCCAGGAAAGTAAAAAAAACACTCACATATCCAATCTGCAAAACGTATTTTCCTCCTTACATACCATAGATGCCGCTGTATCCTGGCAACTGATAACCTCAATCTCAATGGGCTGCTCTCCCCCGCTTTTGAATTTTTCCAGCACTTCATTCACTCCAAGCCACTTGCAATCCACACCACCAACTGAAACTATGTAGTCACCTTCTTTTAGGCCCATTGACTGTCAAAAGATTTTGCACAGGTTAAGATCTGGAATTATAAAGTTCTGTAAAAGGTTTTTTGTTATCATTCAGTATCTGCCCTAAAGGCATTTCCCCCTTAGATGCTGTAAAACTACTGTCTAGCTAGACATATGGAACAAAGATGTATATATAACATAGAAACATGCAACTTTTTCAAGTAACAAATTACCTATCTGAGCTACCATTGCTAAATGTGATTCTGGCATACTCAAATGTTGGCCTTTTTTACATCCTTTTTACTTTTCTCCTTAAGTAAGTGAAACCTGTTTTTTGCTACCCTATCATCCCCCATGAGGTATTTTCTCCAGTATCTTTATGTGTCTTTCCTATAGCTAAGCTGTGGCCATCACTGCATGCTGGTTTATCCCTTTCTTTTTCTCCTCAAAAAACCAATAGATTAGAAGCCAATAGTACATTCTTTCACCTTTTTCACCAGGCACATGCTACCTTGCCTTCTCTTCCCGATCCTCATCCTTCTTGTTGTTGCTACTTCCTAAAGCCTTTAACCCTTCTAACTTCCTGAATTAGATGGGGAATAACATTTGCTGTTATTATCTGGGACCTTTTTATCTATAAAATGTGAGCAAAGGAAGAAATCAACTCTAGTTTAATGTGATGTCAGGGATACGGATGCTTTAATATCTAAGGTGTATACAGCACTGAAAATGCATTCAGATTATATGAACTGACTATACTGATGTGCAGTAGAACTCAATAAATCCTCCATACACCAGTATGAACAAGCTAAAGTTACATTTAAAATACTGTAATGCTAGAGTCTGGAGATAAATTGTTAATATTGCACGAATACACTTACTGCTGCAGAACAAACTGGATCAAGACAGTGAATCTGCACTGGTGCACCTCCTTTAAGACTGAATCCTAGCTCTCCTGCTTCATGGTGGATGCGAATGGTACGTGGAGCTGTCCATCTCTGTTTGGCTGAGAATACTGTCAGTGGGCCCTGGAGGCAACATAGCAGCAGACACATTATGATTTACTGTAATTTGTAAGTAAATGTTCCTATTTTTTCTAAGCTATAATGCTTTAAGCTCATCTTATGTAGGTTTTACTCAGGTTATCTTTCAGCTACTTCCACTGAAATGCAACAGTGAGGTTTATCACAGAGGTTTAAGATGTGCCCTGAAGTGCTCAGCCCTACTTCACAACTGTTCAGATGATACTTCAGAGTAGGATGAGAGCAACTGCCAAGTTGTTCTGAGATCCTGTTAAGGTGTGCAGAATCTTTCGGCTGCAGCAGACTCTAAGGTCCTATATTACTTCTAGTTAGGAGGGGATAAAATGTTTCAGGAAACATTGAATATTCTGATCCTAACCGCAACTCCCAATTTTCTTTGCCCACCAATACATACAGAGCCACCTGAAAGACTGGCTTTGTAGCATGCCCATCTCCAAATACTACATGTTTCTTCCAATCTTTAAGTTTTATGCAACTATCCATTGAAAATTCATGGGACTTTTACGGAGGTTATCAAGAATGAATGTTGTGCAAAGCCATACACAAATGGGACTCCTATTCTTTGCTAGTCTCAAGTTGACTTATACCTCTGAAGCTAGGAGTAATCTCTCCAATAACTTCTGAGAAAAAACCCAGTTACTACAGGATAATTTTTTCAGGCTTAAATACCTGTGTGCCATCCTTCATGTTAGAGTGAATTTATATTTACTAGCAAAATGGTTAGTCGTTAAGCACGTTACATACCAGTCTGTGAAAGAAGTCTTTAACCTTCACCTTGGAAAACTGAGGAGCAATTGCTTCTATTTTATGCTCCGTTTTAGCTAAAATGGAAAGAAAAACAGATTAATTTTCTCTCAAGTACTTGTTAAAAGACATACAATTTTTTTTTTCATTCCAAACTAGATAGATATATCTCCTAAGTTCTTACCAGACTGTAGAAAAACCTAATTTTTGTGGAAATGTGCAAGACAAGTATCTGAATTACCTCAAAAATATCTTTAGAGCTCATAGTATCAATACAGAAAACTTAAAATAATCCATCCAAGAAAAACTATGCTATTCTCTTTAATTTCTTTTTCTTTCAGAAATATTTCAAACCAGCGCTCATTCTGTCGCACTGCTTCCAAAGAGGAAAGAGTTGGATGAGCTGAACTACAATAGGAAGAACCAATAGCAGACAAACTGAGTTTACAGCTTAGATCAGTGGAGTTGTGCTACAAGAAACAGTTACTAGTTTTCCCTGTGTGATTTTAGCTTTTAAAGTTTCTTCGTTTTTCCTAGCTCAAAAGATACCAAAAAAGTTGAATTCTAAATAATAACCATTGTTATCTACCCCAGAAAATGACGAGGCCAGAGACAGAAACACTATAAAGCAGCTGTAACAAAATTATTTTACCTGTGATTGAGGAAACATGTAAAGAATCCAAATTCAAATATACAGTATATAACTTGTACATTATTTATGTATGTATGCATATCATATATATACATATATATAAAATAAAGGCATATCCCCATGAAAACATATACATATATGTTTAGTTATCCTTTATTTCTAGCTGCATGTACTTACGAAGGATATCTGGAGCTTGGTTTAGACTGAGAAAGTCATCTTCCATCTCCTGCTGAGAATATTTGAGAAGTGAGCGCTTATGTGCAGCTGTCAAAACCTCCTGAAGAACATCAATGTTTCGAAGCTTTTTGCACAGCCCACAGACCCTTAGAGCTTCTTCATGGCAAACAATGGCTTTGCGTAAATGTGCTTTCCCTGAAAGGAATTAGAAACTGTTGGTTGTCCTTCACAGACAATAAATACAAGGTAATTTTCAAATTGTATCCAGTAGCTGAGTGAAACTGGCAGTTACCTAATTGTTTTCTCTGCGCTTTGTCCTTTAAAATGGTGAGAACCATCAGTCCTTCAGGCATGTGGTCATACAGCTGGGACAAGGCTTTCTCCTGCTGATCTTCATCATCACCGGACTGCACTGTAATAATTGGTATAGAACATTAACCATTAGACATCTCTTGGTGCCCTGTTCCTTTAGGTGTATTGCTGTGTAATTACTATCTTCTTTCCAAATGCAGTCAAATATTTTTGCACGTATATACTGGTGGGTATATATCAAGTTTTTAGGACTTCTATTAGTTTTACCATCCACAGTATGCAAGTAATACTTATATGCAGGAATATAGTTACAAGAATTGAACAATTTAGTAGCACATAATGGATATAATGTTTTTATTTTATTTTCTGCAAAAGTTACATTTATTGAACTTCCACATTCTTCTGTAAAGGACAAAAAGCACGGCCACATATCTGAATGGGAAAATGGCCACAGATTAACATATATTGAAACTCCAAAGTTCTTGGCTCCTAGCCTTATTCAAAAGCCAAATTATAACTGTTTATGTGTTGATTATTCTTATTTATGTGAATATATAGAAAATGTATGATTCTTACATTCATGGTCACACAGAACGGTGGCAATGAAGTAATGTGCCAGAGCTCTATAATGGTCTGACTTTATTTGTGCCAGTTTAGACCAGGAATAGGGGATATTCTCTTTCACTGGTTCCTGATTCATTGCAGTGTTAACCAGCATGTAAACCTCTCCCACCTAAAACAAAGCACAGAATTGAAGTATGACAATTTAACATCAGTTACCAGGAGCTCAAGTAAGGGTTATTATATTCAGCCTTAATTAATTTCATGCACATCACATCAAAGGGGTGGGGAGGGGGAGAAAAGATGGTTAGAAATGGTTGGAAATAAGTTTGGAAAACAAAATTAAATTCCATCTCTGATTTTTCCCTTACGAGAAAATTAAATCAATTTTGTACAAGAACAGATGAACTAAGTCAGTCAACCTATATGGCTTCAGAGTTCAATAAAAACACGATATAATAAAGTTTTTAAATTACAAATACATCTCATTGGGTTAACAGCTGAGAAAAAGGGTGAAGCATATTACTTATACAGTAGGTTTGTACTTCACTTCTGAACTTCTGAAACTGTGGAATCATATCTAGTCATAAGTTTGTGTGGTCTAGTTAAAACTGGGCTACTATCCTTTTATGCAGAGGAAATAAAATAGCTTTTCAAACAGTGAATGCTGCTTTAATGGATCAAAATACTCCACCTGACAGAATCAAAAAATCTTTTCTCTGCAGCCGATCAATCTTGCAGATAAATTAGGGTAGCTTTACAGAATTGACAGGAAAGGCTTTGCCCATTTATCTAGTATGGAACCGGTTATACATCTGCTACTTTGAAACAGCTCAGCAAGCATATTCGTATCTTGTTGGCATACCCAATTCTTTATGTCAACAACCTCAATGAAGTGTGAACACTACCTTCTGGGGCATAGCCTGCCTCTCCATTTTTCAGGCAAGTCCCAAGACAGCTCTGCAGCTACCAGTCTGACTCTACTCATCAAGGTCCTTCCCTCAGTTACAATTTAATTATTCTTTTGGATTTAAGCTTTTTAGGTTTGCATAACCTCCAGCTGCTGGGAAATAACAGATAGGTTGTGTTCAATACTTGACAGAGAACTACACAACCTGTCCTTTTGTATGTTGTTCTGTCGACAAGATCTGTACTGTTTGAAAAAGCAGTATAATAGCTTGTAAAAAACTTCTGCAAGTTCACTGCCCAAGTGTTCCAGCATGTTTCTATTAAACTTCAGGAATTATGAATTAATTAAAAAAAAAAAAGAACCATAACACTTCTAAAATAACGGTATTTAAATTGCAGCTATTTGCTTTTTAATCTTCTGAAAGGTTGTGATTCTCACTGTAGCTTGTGAGCTGTTCTTTGTTACTTTTGGTTTTCAGTAATGGTTGTTAACATTTAGGTTTAATAAATTCTGTTAATATTATTAGAGGCTGTAGCTAGTAACACAGCACTGTAAACAGTTATTTTAAAGACCAAATTTTAAGTCTCATATTTTACCTTGGCAACTTCCTGTGTCATTTTCACTAGTATGAAAAACTCATTGCGTATTCCAGGAAGACCAATCTGCTCAAAAACACACTCCTGAGCTTGCGCAAGCATCATTTTTACTAGTACATTCAGCATAGCTGGGCTCATATCATAACTTGGTGTGTGAGTAAAGGTCTCCTTTAAGTAGTTTAGGACTCCTGAAATTACAAAATGGTTTTGTCAGCATTACAAAGAGAGAAACAAGTGAATTTAATTCTAACATGTACAATAATAATTAAGATTGAAAGCATACTCTCAATTCTAGTCTTGCACTACAGCAATCTAAAGGGGTTCTTAGTATACACGATTGACCATAAAGCTGTGCTGAACCAAATGTGACTTGTATATGAGAGTGGTAGGCTAGGGCTTATGTGGAGGACAAAGAAGAAGAAGAAATCTATGCAGCTATAAGGAAGTGACAATAGAACCCTTCCTAGAAGGAAAAAAACACAAACATATAAACTTAATTAATTATGAACCTCCTTTTCAGATGCTGCTACGTGCATTGTGTGTCCCAACAAAAGCTCAGTTCCATCCCTGTAAGTAAACTAGAACAGTATATTTAATAGGGTAAAATTAGATTCTGCTCTAGACATTGGGTTCTACCAACATAGTAATCTTTTCTATATTTTATCAAATTAAAAACAAACACTAACTGTAGTGCAAATATTAAGTAACAGTTTCAAAAATGGAAGCGTAACCTTCAGCACGCATGTCATCCAACTGGTTTAGTGAGTTCTACTAGCCTGCTAATTGCTGAAAATACTACAAGAGTGTAATGATAAGACTTCTGCTTTTAAGTCTCCCAGCTTCTGTAATCTTACTTCTTGCCACTACATTTGGTTCTGGCCATGTTGTGCTGTATTGTCCTACTACCAGTTTCTGAGATTTTTCATTTTCTGTGTTACACTCGTACACTTATTAATATGCCCTTACACAAATTTGAATTATGGCCAGCTCTGCCTTTTTGCACCCAAAAAAAAAAAAATCAACCCCAAACTTGCCAGGCACATCCCAAGTACTGATGGGGTGCCCTACAGAAAGGAACTGAAAGGACAGGGCAGGGAAAAAAAAAAATTTTTTTGTTCTCAACATATTTCTGCTTATGGGGTAAGGATATACACACCGAGAGCTTTGTTGAGGATAAACTATGCAACATTTTCTATTCAGCACAGAGAAACTGTTAATACATACTCTATATCATGTCTCTACCAACATAATGAACAGTGTTACGGAGCCATGCACAGGTACAATGAAATGCCTCCTGAGCACATTGCTTTGGGGCCCTGCAAAGGTACTGTGGTAGCAAATGATGCATTTCAATTTGTGAATTAATTCTGTTCTGCAAATACATTGAAGTAAAAAGCAGTGATTTTTGTATTAGCAAATTTAGCAAAAGGAGAAATTTCTCAAGTATTGAAATATTTTTTAGATTAAATACAAAGGTTGAAAAACAATTTATTTGATAAGTGCATGAAGAAATACTATCAAATTTTTTCGAAAGCTGTGTATTCAAACGAGGGGTTTTATGACAATCCAACTCTGTGGTTCACAGTTTATCACTGATAAGGCTACTCATAGGTAGAAACCAACAGCTACAGATTGTCAGTGCAGAAATAAATCTTATAGTACGTATTGATTACATAGCTCATGTCTTTAGGCATTATGTGTAGCAGAGATTATGTTTACAAAAAATTAGAAAAAAAATCCCATACCAAACCAAAAGCTTCTATAACAAGTTAGTTCAAGGCATGTGCTTCCCTTTATTAGAATTTGAATTTTTCTTCACTTGGGACAGAGATTGTTTATTCTGTACCTGTTTACCTTTGGAATCTAGGGAAAATATGTAGTCAACTTCCAATGAACTGCAAATTTTACTAGAGAACATAGTAAGATTAATTTTGAAGAGACCATGTGGAAAACTAGGGTTTAAGCCCTTTATCAACCCTTTGAATTGTTTCTTGTACAGATTTTTAAACCAATCCAGTTATCACTGAAGTAAAAGCAGCTATGCTGATGAAACAAAGAATGAACAATGAAGCAGTTAACGCTAGGGCTATTACTCAGACCTTTGAACTGCAGTTCATTAATCATTAACCACAGTATTCACTGTCTTCATTTGCATGTTCAAACTACAGTTCCAGGTTTTGAACTAAAACTTCATCTCAGCTTTTAAGTAGGCTTCTTAAATTTCCCTATTCCTACTTTTTTTGTGTCATGAAGTCAGTGGGAAATGCAGAAATCTGCAGCTTGTCAGGATGAGATTAAGAACACTTGCATAAAGACCTTCCTCATATTTTTAAAAGTGTACCTGCAGCTCTCTGAAAAGCATCAACAGCATTTTCAAGTCCAGCCTGCGTCTGCCGATTGCATCTTGTTCCAATCTGGGTGTAGACAGCTCCAATGTTGAATAAAATACTAGCTTTTTCAAGCAAGAGATTTTGCTGACACACTGGGACACCTGTGAAGGAGTCATACCTTGGGAAACAAATATTAGAAACGTTAAGCTTAGCAGAATCTATAGAAACAACAGATGTTTTAATTCTCTTTTTCCAAAAGAGCAATGGAATTCTTAGTAATTCCTCTGCTACACTGAAAATGAAGGTGAATAGAAATACCACTGTGTACTGTGAGGACAATCTTAAGTACTGCAAGCCAGACAATAGCTTTATTTGAGGCTTAGTTTTCAGCAGATTTTACAGCAGTGCCTCCATAAGCATATTATACCTAGCTCAAAAGTGCCTATAAAACATCACAGAGGCTGGGGAAGTATCTGCATGTGCTGCTATGTTCTCATACTTATATGTTGCCAAAGGTCAACTATTGGCATGGTCAAATCCTCTATAGCTTGTATTTTAAAGTTTCTTCTTGCAGTTACAACTAGAAATTTAACAGTTCCTCTTGGCTGAATGGTAGTCATTTTTTTATCATAAAAATTAAAGTTGTGAATTTAGAGTCAAACTTTGCTCATAGATGTAGTAAACACTTCACTATAATAAATAAAGACACTCCTCCCTTCTGGACCTAAATCTTCCTCTTAACAAATTGAAGGTGGGAAATTAAGGTCTGACCCATTCCCCATCTGCTTCACACAAGGTTCAGAGACCAGGAAACGTCTGCAGTGGTCCAAAATAAGGATTATTTTCTCTTTTTCCCTTATGCTAACCTGTAGCCTAAACCATAATCTAGCCAATGGCTACACTCTAAGCATGAAAAGGGTGTACTGTATTCAGGTTTACTCTTAACAGTTAAAAAACAAAATGACAATATACTGCAAGGAATAGAGGGGAGAAACACAATGACATGCTCAATTTAAACAAAAGATGGTTAATGATTAACAGCGTGGGGGGGGGGGGGGGCAATTTAGAAAAGAAAAAAAAACCAAAAAGACAAACATGAACTACACACTTACCATGTAAATAAAACTCCCATATGCCTGGTGGGTGGGAAAAATCTGTTTTCTACATAACCAAGTTGAAGGAAATAGCTTATCAACATCTCAATGCCAGCTTCATCTCGGCTAGGAGTACGGCAGGCCTTAAAACAAAACAGATTAAAATAAAGTGTGTTCTGTTGAGTTACAGGATGAATAAACATCAATGATAAAGCTCTACTTCCTTTGGACTTCTGCATATCATAGAAATGTGTGGAATCCGAGAACAGTAAGCTTAAGGCCATATGGATGCATTCCAAATAAGAGTTTTTCAGCTGCACAGCAGTGGCACATAACCTTTAAAGAAGCAAAGTAGATATGTTTGGGAAGTCTCAGAGTTAACTGAGGAAGCAAAAGGGACCTGTGTGGCAACTCCTAGACTTAATTAAATAAAGATAATGGGTATTTTATGAAAGCTGCTAAGAAAGTTTGTTTCTAGTATAACACAGGAAACAAGCAATAGCTAGAAACAATCACCACTGACTATAATCTTTTGCCAGATGCATTCACTTCAACATTCTTCCCGTTGAATTTAAAATACTTTAAAGTTTAAAAAAAGTAGATAAGACAAATCTTAGATTTACAAAGTTGTGTTAATAGCTCAATCACTTTGCATAACTTCATCCTTTTACTCACTTGTTCTTTACTGAGGCTGTAAAGACAATGAAGATTCATGTTCCATATTTCAGAAATGAAGTCAGTAAGAATATGGTAAGTTATAAGTAATAGTGGCATATTCTGATTCCATACAAATTTTGTTATTTACAACTGTAGATTACATTACAACTGTAGGCATGGTATGCCATACTTGAACTTACTTGTCTCAGATCCATGAGATCCGCTATTTCGTCTTCATACTCAGAACTGTCTTCACTATAATGTTCCAAAATAAAGTCCTAAAAAATAAATAAAAATTTGAATGTTGAAATATCTAAAAATAAACCTATTCTTTTTTTTCCTGCAGTTGCAAACAGTACAAAATTGATTCAGTTCTGATTTGCACGTTGTCTGCTCCCTTCCAGCCAGTAACACAGTAACATAAAATAATGAGACTACAAAAAGACAATAGAACTAATAATGTGATTTGAGATCTGAGACAAAATTTCAGTCTGCTGTAAAGGAACCAAACATTTATTACATCAGCTCCATTGGGTTTTAAAACAACAACACTTAGTGGTTTTGAAAAGGACAAGTGAACTCTGTTAACTAAAATACGAAGGGAATCGAGTGACCATAAAAACTTGTTAACAGAAGAGACTGTCAAGTTCTTGTCAGCTATATTAGTGCAATTCCACTTAAATTAACAAAGCTGCAGCGGCATAAAGTGGTACCATAATCTGACAACATAGATTAACCTACAGAAATAAAAGCAGAGACAAATGCTACAGTGATATAAGATGGTTCACCATGACATAAAATCTACACTCCACAATACACAGTAGTCCAAAAACTACAGAGGGTGGCTCAAATAGCCAGTGAAGTATATTAGCCAACAAACAAGCAGCATTAATGCTGCTTCCCAAATGAGCTAGCTTGGCTAGTGCAAGTTGGAGTATGACTGCATTGTGCTTAGAAAAATCTTCATTACTACTTCGTTTCATGCTTAAAGTAGTAATCCATAGTTTATTAGAACCAAAAACTGTAGATGGAATTCTTATTCTCTTTGGTTTAACTCTACTGTCTCTAAAGTGGTATTTTTTAACATCTTCAGTTAAGATCTGAACAGTTAGATCTGAATCTAACTAGGATAAGGAGTCCAAAGATGTTTTAAGAAGAACATTGCTCATGCAATGACCCAAATAATTGGTGGTTTATTTTTAGACACATTATGATCTCAGTTTTAGGGCAAACGAAATGAAAAATAATTTGTACATAAATTACTTCTGCTTCTTTAAACAAATCTGAAATGGAAGTTATTTCTGTTAACAATTCATTCTGAAATGTGTCTCTGAAATTTACCTTGAGGGGAAGTGTAAAGTCTACTTCTTTGGTTTCCTTCAGGCCAAGAGGTACCAAGGGAATGCTGAAAGTCTCTCTATGGAAAAAAAAATAATTCAGAAATATTTGTTTTCTGTTGATAAGGTAATTAATTTTGTTTCATTTGATGATAGAAAGTTCGTACGCTGGCGGGTGTTCAGGTAAAAGATACATAGTTTGTAACAGTTCCTTCCTACCCAAGAAAGTCTGATTCATTTTCAACAACAACTTAAGAAGACAGCGAGGAAAGGTACTTTCCCGCGATTTTTTTTTTTCATCTGAGCCTATTTTTCCTTCAAGGAAAGGAAACTCTCAAAGGCTGACTTACTGCAATTTGGCTCAACCCTTATACACCTGCACAAGTTATATGGACAGAAAACAGCTCCACGGCTGCTAGGCAACCTGCCATGGTAAGAGCTATGGTAAGTAGTTACCAGTATTTTACATGCTACCAATGGTTTCATATGTAGACATGATGTGTATCTAAGACAGGGAAAAGCAGGGCCAAAGTATACCAACTTCAACAGTGAGAGATCTAAGACTAGGAAGTCTGAGAACCACGTAGACAATGCTTGGTGTTAACCTCTGACTAAGCTGACCTTTAAAATATCAAAGGGTAATAAGGATGAGAATTGTGACTTAAAATCTGATCCTCGAGAGTATACTCACCTGTATCATGAACGTAAACCCAGATCATATTAGTAAACAACACTAGCTAATAAGACTATTATGAATTAAAGAGCATAATTTATCCCTCAAAAACTAGACATATTGCTCTTCCACTAAGTGTATTACACAATTATAAAAAATACCAGAACTGCTTCCAGATACAGTTTGCTGAGTAAGTTTAATGGATCGGTGTCAGGCAATTATAAAGTTTATCAGGTATTTTCCTTTTTCCTAAAAACAACTGCTTGACTGTCTAATTATTTAGAGCATTCGATTACCAACTATAAAATCTCACAGCTGTTATTGATTAATAGTCCTATCAGCAAAGCCAGCAAAATCTTTCTTACTGGTGAAAACTCCATCTCGGGAAAGTGGAAGGAGAGCGGCTTCCTCAGCAGAGGAAGAGTCCTTAAACTGGTTGGCATGGTCCAGAAAGTGGCTCTGCTACCCTGAAAAGGACTTCCTGGATACAAAGCCAAACCACCACTGCATATAGTGCAAATTATCTGATTTCTGATAAGACTTTTAGAAGAGACCACAACAATTTTACCACAGATTATATCATTACTTTTTCCCCCAAGGAAGTGAGACACATGCAAAAGAAATTCTAACTGGCTGATTTATTGAATTCTAGTACCACCCACAGTCCCTGTAGACACCAGCATTCGTCATTCAAAGGGACAGAAGTTCTATTTTTTAAGTTTCTAAGTTCCCACACCCATGGAGTCAATGTCATAAGGGCATTGAACAGTCAGGGAGGTGATCCTGGATTTCCAGAACTGAACAGAAATAGCGTCATGCTTCACAATTCAGCTGATATGTGTGCAAGTACTGGGAAGGCCAACCCTTCAGATTGGTGTAACACAATACAGTGTTACCCTAGTAATGTGGGTGTGAACTCATGTTGATGACTATATACACAATAACTTCAGAGAGCAACTATTAATAGCTATTTGCTGTTAAAGGCTGGAGAGCAGTTACAGAGGGAGTGAATTCTTTTAGCTGATGGAATATGAAAAGCATTTAGAGCTCAGAATGAACATCATCAGAAAGGTAAACCATCATTCAAAATAGATTGGGGAAACAGGAACAGGAGCGAATAAAACACAAAGCTTCTACCTGCCTTGGGGCCTGACCTGCTGCTCACCCTTCACTGAGAATCCAAATAGTTTGAATATTCTTTAGCTAGAAGAAGAAACAGGACTCTCATTCCCACAGCCATAACTTTCACACTGCTCTCTATGCTCGCATGCATCTGTGAAAACTGGTAAAAATCTTCAACCAAAATATTTTTCCAAATAGCTGTCAAAGTTTGTCATGGTGTTAGAGGGCAGGAACTTTAGCACAAGTTTCTTTTTGAGAAAAATAAAACATAGACATTTTGTCCCCATCATATGAAGTGCTTCAGTTTGTGTCTTGAGCTGCTAATGTTAATCAAATAGTAAACGTTCGGTTTTAGGAACAACCAGACATCTAACTGATACAGCAATCATTGCAGCATTCAGAATAATGAATAATTTTTAACTTTGAAGTTTTATCTTTGAGGAATCCATTGCAAATTGAAGTTTAGTGCGCTCTTTAAAGTTGGAAGAGTATCTTGGAACAATTCCAACTTCAACTACTAAAAATTTCTGTTATAGCCAGCTAGTTTATAGGATTTCTATCACTGAAGTACACCTTAAAGATTACCTCAAGTCTGCTCTGAGCTCTAAATCAGTGTTGGACTTCTATTCTCCAGCTATAGAGAACTGCTGCATGCACTGCATTGCGAACAGATATTGTATCACTAGATTTGCTCACTCTGTAATGCACTGAACCAACTGGCCATTCTAATACTATAAATTCTGCTAGGTGCTGTGTCCCCATAAAGCCTCAAGAGGTTTCAGTTCTCGCAATACTCCCCTCCACGAAGGAACTCTGTGTCTAAGGATTAGTGGTACACACCTATCCCAAGTGAAAGACAAATATGCAGGCTAACCTTTAGTCAACAAATCTCCCATCAAATATGTTCTCTCCCTAACAAGCACTCTGTTCTTTCACGTAATTATTGTCCAGCATTCACATTCACCTAGAAACAATTTTGTTTCCAGTGGTAAACAGATGATCTCTTAATTATTGAGTAACTTACTCTGTATTTTGATAAACTTCTACTGAGATGTTAAGTCCTTCCAATTCTTCCTTTAAGATCTGCAGGTCTGAGTTTACAAAACTCAGTTCCAGTAGTACATGTTCTCGTACTTTGTTGTTGGTAGTTGCTCTGCAGAAAGAGAGAGACAATTTTTTTATTGCTGAGGAGTAGGTTTTGTACATAAGCTTGGTTGACCCCCTTGCTAGCATTCTCAGTGTTTTTAAGATTTTTTTTATGTCCTTAAGAGATGATACAAGACCTCATGTTTCAGGATTTATTAGGTTTTTCTGTCAAGAGAGAGCCTGGGATAGTTTCCAGATAACAGCATGTAGACACATAGAAGATTTGCTTTGCACTAAATTTTTTTGTGTGATTAAGGGTGAGACTTATTTTCAGATACATTAATCAATAAAACGAAAGCATCTTAAGCAGAATCACTATCCTATTTTTGGTTTATGTGATCTTTTCCTAGAAGATATGAGGGTGGAGGTGGGGGAAGTAAGGAGATATTTTTCTTGAAAGAGACTTCCCTGCTTTATAAATTGAATAATAATCTGTTGGGACTTCTGATCTTAAGAACAAAAGAAAACAACTTTCCCATAAAACTGTTATTACAGAATGTTATACAAATATATACAAATATACAAGTAGAAAGATACTTCTTTTTAATACAATACAATTTTCTCTATAATTTTTCTGGACCTATCACCACTCTCGTCAAGAGTAAAGATAAAGCAAGTGATGGGCAAAGAACAAGCTATTAATTAATGGCAAGTTTAAGAAAAGTGAATTTATTTAAACATTTTCACTTCTCTAAGGGAATTATATTGACTATTTTGTTCTTGGATACTCATTGTTCCTCTGGTTGCAGAGAAACAGACACTACAGGAGACTATTGCAGATGGGTACTGGGGAAATTTTCAGTTCTCTGTAAGGGAAGGCTGGATTGTTGGAAAGCTACAAGACTTTGCTAAGCAGTTAATCACAGGATGCAATAGCCTCAAAACAGGGTGAACATTAAGCTGTTCCTATGGGGACAGACACATAATAAACTGTCGTAAAAAATGTGGTGGACAAAATATAATAGACAAAGGGAAAAGTCTCTTCCAGTTACCTCAAACTCTATGAGAATTTGGTGGCAAACATAACCCTGCTCAAATTAGATCTGCGCTACCCTGCTACTTGTATATCACTACTACATGGAATAAATAAGGCAACTGATGGTCCTTTCCACTGTGAAGCACAGATCTGAAGGATCTTGGAAAAAGCAGCAGCATAGTGACAATACCTTTATTTGATTTAAGGTGTAAAAAGGAGTCGTCGTAGCATTCAGCAAGATTCACTTGCCATTATCACTCGCAATAAAGCTGATCAAACAGAGCAACATAAGATAGTCATTCAGCTCGTTTGCTACCAAACAGTAGCTTTGAAAGTACACTTTATAGCAGCTAATAACTGTACAGAGCTACAGCATTAAAAAAACTCCAGGGAGATCCACAAAGCATCCAGCAGTAATTTATGCAGCATGTTAGAGGAGGGGTTAGGCAGGCTGAGAAAAATAATTTTTAAAAAATAATAATTTTGTTGCTGAGGCAAGAGAACTAGGAAGTCATGACACATACATACCTTAAAAGATTTTCAGCACCAGCTCTCAATCTTACTGCTCTTAAGATCTGTTGGTTTAGGACAGCTCTTTGATTTTGCAGTTTGCTTCGACCAGTCTCTGCAAGAGGGTTACAGCCCTAGAATTAAGGAAATGAGGGGGGTTTGTTACTGTTGGAAGAAACTCTGAAAAAGGACTAACACTGATTTTGAATGAACTTTAATGCCATGAGTTCTAGATGAATACAAATTAACTACACTGATATCAGTGATGAAGGACTGACAGTGTTTCTTTTCTCAAACTTGGTCATTAAAAGTGAAAGAGACACCATGACCAAAGCATTTGATGTTAAAATCCAGGCAGAAAATACTTGTTTTAAAGCTTATGTACATGTGTGAGCCAGTCTGTTCTCCTCTATAAATCTTCTGAAGCTATTTTCCAATTACAATCAAATTTGCCAGGTTTCAAGAAAACAGTATCTGGCCAGGCAGTAACTCCTATCAAAGTTTCTGCTTAACCTTTGCAAAACATCAGAGTTCCATGCTGGGAAATATGCAGCCTTGAAATACAGCTCTATCGGTAAACAGGCTCTGGTGGCACCACTGCTCGCAGTTAGAGCCTTTCTAAGGATCTCTGCTTTCCTTCCTTCTGGTGCTCAGACCTCTGCTACAATTCTTACCCCTCCTCCCCTAGGTTCTTCTCTTCATATCTCAAACTTATTTTGGTAGAGTACTGCTTATCTGTACAGCTCTTCTTCACACCCAGGAAATCCTCTCGGATCTTTAGGTCTACCCTGCTCTACCCCAACAGCACCTTTACATAGTGCACCAAAAATATAAAATATTAACAAGCTTTATAAGTTCTTTCATATATATATGTTCACAGTGCCAAGTGCAATGATTTATCTGCCCATTAGTTTTTCTTGTTAACCTGTTAGCTGAACAAAGATTATATATTGATAGCTCAGTATCAGGTAAACTGGAAAATTGAATAATCTGAGATGGGATTAGGTAAGAAGGGATATGAAATAATAGAACTTGACAGGGTAAGATGACGATTATACCTTCAGAAAGTCATCACAGTGAACTCTTAAAAAGTACAGCATGAAATCCAGAATTCCCAGGAATGCTCCTGTTTATGTGCATACCTTACACAAGCACAAGACTCAAACTACTGCAACCTGAGCCATTGTATTCTGGTGAACACTGATAAGCTAAAACTGTTATAGATTAATAGGACTACATGTTTGGGAATTTTTTGGGTTTTTTGGGGTTTTGTTTTTGGTTGATTGGTTGGGGTTTTTTAGAGAAACACAATCTTAACACCTTTTTTTAAATAGAAGTTTCACTTCCACTTTGTTTTTCTTTGCCCCTACCTTCCTTTTTTGGAGTATCAAATGTCTTTATATATTAATACTAATTTATAGTCAAATGTCTTTGAGCATTAATACTCATTTCTAGACAACTAGTGCATCTCTGCAGCCTTAACTACTGATTCTGAAGCAAATAAGACCACTCTGTTTTAAGGCTTACCCTTAAATAAAGTATGTCCTTTTGAGTGGCTTTGCTGGGTATCATTACAAAGCTTACCAGGGTCCTACTGGATCATGCATTACACAAGAAGGAGGCTCACAGCTGTGTGATATAAGTCTTCCCTCAAGCACTCCAGCCACTAAATTATGTACTATTTTGGACCTCTTCCTCTTAGTTTTGACTAGAAAAAATGGTTTTTATATAAAAGCATTTAAAAGTCTCTCAACAAGCTCTAATTATGAGTGCTCAGGGAACAACATACCAGCACAACAAAAGCAAGTATTCAATAGAACATGAAGTTCTAATCATCTATTTGAAGTTCAGTTCTTATTTGGCTTGGCAAGTGAAGGCAAATTGATTTGACAACAGAGGTGCGACCTGATCAACCCAGATTACACTAGTTCAACTGAGAAAGCACATAGCCCAGTATTGTTAATTTTAAATTCCTAGATTGAAAAACTTGTAATAAATAGGACAAATCACAGGAAGCTTGTGCAAACACCTTCACATGCACTGTTCCTGGAAAACTTGCAAAATAAATGCAACAGTAAATTACTTTTAGTGCAGAAGTGTTTCTGCATTGAAACACCAGTTACAGCAGAAGCCCGAAACTGGGGTGCACAGTGTATACTCTCTTTGTTGAAAAAGCACTGGCAGCAAGCGCAATACATAGAAGATGAACTTCTTACTGGAGAGGGCATGCACATGTAGCAAACTCATTCATTCCTCTCAGATTAAAAGTAGTCCTTTACCTACCAAATACTTCGTGCTCCTTTACACGCATTTATACACCAAGGCATAAGCAAGGCACACTTAAAGGTATAACATGGTCTTGTATCCACAAGTTGATTTCTGCTTTCAGCCTGTTTCTTTTTCTGAGCTGCCACTGTTTTTCCTACTTTGATTTTTCTTCATGTTGTATAATCTTTCTCTACTAGTAGTATTGAAAGTCTTCCTTCCTTCCATTCTATCCGTGCCATTTTTCATTTAAACCTTGCCAACTATTTCCTCTTGCTTTTTGCATTCAGTTTGAATACTTGATTCTCATCTTGGGCCTTTCATCTCTCTATCCCTCTATAGGTCTGTGATGCTTTCTTCCAACTCCTTTCTCAACCACTTGGCCCAAGCATCCTTTGTAAATGTATCCTTGTCTCGCCCTTGTCTTCGTTTTCTCTGTAAAGCTGCAGCTTCTTTCCAGAACTCCCTGCCCTTCTTGTGTGCCAAACAAGTTTCATGACATCATTCAAATACTTCTTTACAGCTGTACTTCTGGGAAATTTTTCAGGAAGATCAACTGCCTGGTTCCCAAGCCCATGAAGCTCGGTATAAGTGGTGTGTTTATCTCAGTGGACCTTTGATCAAGCTCCAGCTCAGAAATCAAACAAGCTCCTGTTGAACGATGAATGCGAAACTGCAATGATCTTAAACTGTGTGCAAAGAGAAAAAATGGCAGAAATGTTTCCCTGCATTTCAGGACAGGCCACTAATCTCTGTATGAAGCTTTAATGCAGAAACAGCCCTGAGGCCTAAGAGAGCAAAGCAATGACAGACAGAGGTATCTGTGTCACCTCCGGTGTGCCTGGAAGTCTTGCACTTTTGTCTCCTTGATGAAAGGCTTCTCGTAGATCAAGGAGTCTGTTTTCAGGATAGGTTCACCTGCTGCAAGCATATACCTCCCATTTACTTCTCAAGGCCTATAAGGAACTTGTATTTTACCTTTTGGAAACACTGCTTTTTACATCTCCTGTACAGGGGATGGGGCCACTTGGTTAGTTTGCAGGCTTAAACTCTTCACTGTAATCAGGCTGCCAGAAAACTGATGTCTGTTTCATGTGTCTGCATGGGGGACAGTGAAAATAGCCAACATGTGCAAAAAACCATAGGAAATACACAGTCTGGGGAAGATTCCCCCTCGTGTAAAGCACAAATTCTGTCTACTAAAAAGTTCTTTAGCAGACAGATCCGAGAAACTGCTTCATTTTGTTTTCCCAGACAGCATTTGTACTTGGTTCACATTTGGACAATCCCAAGAACGTTAATGTTCAGTTCATTACATTATCTTCCCAGCGTTTTCCACACCTACTGTTTCATCTCTTGTCAACAGGATGGTAGATGCCTCATTTAATTACTGTTTATTTATTTTCTGAGCCAAGACAATTGCAGTAATGAACTGGATTTTATCCTGGCTTATACACTATTAGTAAAATTATTAATTAAATAGCAACAAAAGAACAGTTATTACTAAGCAAGTTGCAAAAATGTCCAAGAATGGAGTATGATGTAAGCTTTAATTGCATGCATTTTGGACGGGTGGGAGAAATGACAAGTAACTTGGCTGTGAAGACAATTCAAATAGTAAGCTCAGCTATCAGTTTCAGAGCCCTTTTTCCCCTCAAAGCATAGCTGCACTTCATAAAGAAATGTCTAATGTGCTTAAGTACTATTATCCTTAGCTCCTGAACCAATAAAAGCTTTTTCAAACCTAAAGTTCAGTTAGCTAGTTACTTTGTTTCTTCCTGCTTGGTAGAATAGCATTGTTAAACTGCAAAATGAGAAAGCTGATATATTTTTAATATATCATAATCAGAGGCCAAACCTGCCCAAGAGTTATAGATTCTTGCCACATGTTATTTATGTACCTAGTTACAAACGTCTCGAAAGAAACAGACACTGATTTTGGACAACTAAAGATACATCTCCTGATGAAGGCCAGCCTGTGCAGGGCCTGCATGTTTGAGAGCAATCCTCTGCCTAATGAACAGGGCATGCTGACAGATTCCAATGGGATTGCTGCTCATCTCTCTTTAGAACTAATGCCTGAGCTTAGGTGGCAGGATATCCCACTGGGTTTTATTTTTAAGTTTATAAACATTATCCCACACGTCAGTTGTATTATGAATGCCTGTGGGATCTCTGTGACACTGCCTCTGTCAAACCATGCACTGCCAGCAGATCAACAGGAGCTCAAGCAGAGCCAGAAAGCGGCTGACTGTTCAGTACTTATGTGGGATTTTGGGGAGATTTTCTTCTATTACAGATTAGGTGGGGGCAGAGAGGGTAGCTAGGCAAGCCTGTAGTCAAGTACTCCAGGTCAACTACTGATGGACATTATCTTGCCTCTGTACAAGGTACCAATGCTTACCTCCCTTCTGATGGGGCCTTAAAATCCCCCAGTGTAATATAGGCAGTATCTTTGTGGTTTTCCAAGTTTAGCCTTCAAGCCTTAAGAAATTACCTACTACAGAGGGAAGATAGCTGTCAAAAGTATGGATCCCAAATAAAGAAGCAGTTGTATTTACTTTGGATGCTAGGACGTTCTTTCTTTAAGACAGAAGTATTCTTAATATCAGAAACATAGTTGTGGTGGACACAAAAATCATGACAAACAATGAGTAATCACAGTAAGCATTTGAAATTAACATAAATGTGATTAATGAAGTAGTGGTTTGAACTTTTAAGATGAGCCACACACTGTCTGAAGGTGACACAGAGTTGAAACTGGGTGTGCCTTCTTACTTAAAATAAAGCATTCCTTTACAGCCAGTGCAACCTGTGCTGCTTGTCAAGCCCAGTAGTGTATGCAAATGCCCATGTCCTCCAGATATTT